GTTGTTCGAGCTGCCACTGTTGCGGGTTTTCTTGCAACTGCTGTTGTCTTTCTTCTTGTTTCTTTTCTTTTTCCTCCAACAACTGCTGTAATCTCTCTTATTGTTTAATTTCTCGTTCTTCTTGTTTCTTTTCTTTTTCCTCTAACAACTGTTGTAATTTCTCTTCTCGTTCTTCTTGTTTATTTTCTCGTTCTTTTTGCTGTTCTTGTATTGCTGCCATCAAGTCTGCTATGCTGTAGTTTGATTTGCCGCTTCTCGTTTCCATTTTTTTTTTGTCTCACTCTCTGACACCAATTTGTTATGCCTCTGTTCGTTAGTTGATTTTCCGTAACTTCGTTCCCACGAAACTTTAGCGACACAAGTCCTTTCTTAATAAAACTGGTTTATTCTTTCTGAATATAACTTTACCGATACACTTATTTTCAACAGTCGCTCTATAACAAACGCTATAACAACAAACGTTAACTTCAACTATACTTTCTGACTGCAGTTCAATTACTCACTACCTACACATTATCCCGTCACGTTGTGACCGTCTTATATATATACAAGACTAACACTATATCTAGTAATCTCCCGACAATTCACGAAGGTTCGAGAGAACGAGTGGCGTGACACTAGTCACGTTACCTCGCTGACGCAACAGTATGTTGAATGTATATCTTGTGGTAGTTGCACGTAAAAAATCGCATCTAACTATGCAAGAAAGAGACAAATATTTAACACTTGCTCATTGTAGGTTAAGAGTTATATATGTTAGTTTGTTTTTACATATTCTACTATTTTTTTTAAAAATTCTGCATCAGATTGAATTCATTAGAATCGCCTACTCTATTTACTTTTTACACAAGTGCATTCTGAGTTGAAAAAAAACAGTCAAATAAATGAATGAAATAAATCGAAATTTTATAAAACTTGAAACTACATTTTATATGTATAAAAATAAACCTGTCATAAATATGTTCAACAGAAAATGTAGTAGGCTAGTATTTTTATATCTACTAAAAGTAATACAGTCTCATACCTAATAAGCTTACGAACGATCAAATAAAAAATGCGAGGCATGGTATATATTTACAGGTTTAAGTTCGACAACAAATGGTACTGAAAACGGCATAATAGATGTATCTAAATTAACAGTACGTCATGTTAATGTTATTTACAAATAAATGGTTAAATAATAAATATAGTCGTAAAAAATTAATAACTAAAGTAAAATAAAAACTGATTGAAAATTAAGATAGAAATTCTAAGAATATTCATGGTATCTAAGATTTTAAGGGTAACTGCAAAAATTCCAGTACACGTTATTTGTGAGCGCTATTTTACTCGTTTCACAAATACAGGAACAATTTATTTAAATAACAAATATACTGTATTAAACTTAAATTAAAAATTATTTTCTTCAAACTTGTACATTATAGCCAACAATTGTTTGCATTGTGATATTAATTAACTTATTTAGCTTTTGCGTTTTACACTACAGCACTGCCCATCTTCTTTGTTGTTTTATTTTAACCCAACGAATTTGTTTTATCACAGAGTGTCGCTGTAGTCTAAAATTAAATTTGGGTAACTTTCGATTATTTTTTTAGTATCACTATTGAAATTAGTAAAACGTGTTGTTGTTGAGATTAAAGCCTATAACTTGATTTTCCTTTCAGAGTGAATTAGGCAAGTCGTGGGGCAAGTTCCAGCTGCTAGTAATAAAACCAACGAAGATAGAGAGCATGATTTTCTCTAACATAAATTTTAAAATGTAATGATTTTATTCAAAACATCTTAGGAGTTAGATACAATTTGATAAATCATCTTATATAAAATTCCAAAAGGAAACTAATTAATCATAATGTAATTGTGTCGGATTCGCCGGATGCTTAAAAAGGAACTGAGATTGCTTAGATATAAAAACTCAAAAGATGGATAACAGCTCTTCTAGTAGCAGTAATACTTGATTTTGAGAAATAAAACTACCTCAGGTTCAACTGAAGATGTGTCTTAACCTTTCCAAGTTATAAATTTATGACCTGTAGCACTACTGCCTTTATAATTCAATAAAAATAACTGATACATCTGTCTTGTCAATTCTTGCAGTAATTTTGAAGTCGGAAATTGAATAACTTAATGCTAATATGACATACTGTAATTATTAATTTCTAGTTTTCCATCACTGGTGTTAATGCTGATTCAGGGTTGCTCATAAATTATTTCGAATTAAAAATTATTTTGGCTCTGTTTTAATTATTGAGTATTATATATATATATATTTTTACATACAAATTTGGTGAAAATTTAAGTTGAATTTCATAAGTTACCGCATTGAAATTTATTAGTGCATGCAGAATGTTTGTGTCAGATTTCTAAAGTAAAAGAGCTTAAGTTTTAAGTCAGTCAGTTTACTTCACGTTAATGAAGCAAAAACTTGTTAAATCTTTTATCAAAATTTATAACAAGTGAAATGTATAGTACACGTGCTGTTTTGTGTAAGGGTTAAAAATGAGGACACAGGTAATGAGATACAGATCTGTAAAAATAAGAACACTGCTTTATCTTAATGAACCTAGAAAATAAACTTTCACATATATACGACATCTACACATACAATTCTGTCATCAAAAGTGAGATATACAGGATGATATGATGTTCCATTAAAACTTTTATTTTTACTCTCTAAGGATAAATTGAATGTACTAGGGAGCACAGAAACCTTGAGAAAGACTAGGACTAGAATTTGCTTGCCAGATGCTAAAGTACAGAAAATTATAGGTTATGTTGATAGTTTAGTTGCTGGTATCAAGGAACATTCTCTTTTATTGTAATGCAAAAAGGAGTGAATGATGATGTAAATTAGAAGAATAGTCCTTTGGGCTAGATAAGCAATGAACTATTGAGCAAGATCCAGTGCTTAAAATGAAAGATTTATAAGAGAAATGTTTAGAGCAACAGGTGAGTTGGTTGGACATGTGTGATAATAAGTATGGACTGTATGCTATAGTAATTCATTCCTACACTGACTTAAAGAAGCACTTCTGAATGAGCCAGACACTTACATTATTTGAGGAGTTCTTTATACTTTTTAAGCAGCTCTTCTAATTTACAATTTTTGACATCATTCACTCTTGCATTACTATGAAAAAGTGTTCCTTGGTACAAGCAGCTGTACTGTCAATATGCTTCATAATGCTGTAACATGTTCTACCATCAGTAGATTCTTTTGGATTATTTTGTAGAAACAATGTGAGATCCAGTTCATGTAACAATTACAAATTTATTTATTTAAATAATGTCTGCTACAATCACTTTATGTTGTAGGCCTAACATCAAAAAGAAAAACTGAATCTAACTTTCAAATTAAATTACAATTTCAGTTATAACTTACAATAACATTTCTTATGTTATATTACTTTGATGTTTTTACATATCCAAACACAAGATGTTACCACCATTGCACATTAAGTGGTTCATTTCTCATCTTTGACCTAGGCTTCCTGATTCTGTAACTTCTTCTGAACCTGCCTTGTCTTTCGATGAATTTGACCAGCTTTTCCCATAGCCTCCCTTTGCTTCAGGTTCATCCTGATGAGACTCAGGTAATACTCCACTTTTGTCTTTTGGTACTCTTTTATAATAACTCGGGTATCTGAACATTTTTTCTGTTACTCCAGTTGTTTTTGCTGGCTCTCAGGCAAGTTTTTTGCATACACATCAACACTAGGATTTTTTAGTGACCCCCCCATGACTTAAACTAAAGCCTTAAAATGCTAATGGTATGCCTCAGACAATGAGAAATAAAATTAGTTTAATTATTACTATTACACATAGTAAAATCCAAATCACAACTCAAGTGAAATAAAATAACTTTGAAAAAGTGTATATTAACTAAGTTGTTTTCACAATAGTTAAAGCTCAAAGTATAAAAACAGCCAGTTTTTACTCAAATGTTAATACAAAACATTGTCCTGAGTAATTAAAGCTCTGTATGTAATTGCTTAAAGTTGCTAAGTTATTTTTACAAAAGCTATAGAGTCAGATCAAATGATAAGCCAAGTTTACGTACAGCTGCAAGAAAGAGAGTTAAGATCTAAAAGTTTTCTCATTCTCTCACAGGGGCAAATCTAATTTTATATATAAAAACAAAAATACAGTAACAAAGCCAGGCTTGCATATGAAATGCACCTCAAATTAAAATGTATGTCTGCTGGAAATTGAGATCAAAGGCTTGGCTGCCCCCTGACCCTTACCTGATTCACAGAGAGGAAAGACAGCTTTCTATTTCTTAACATAACAATGCTATCTTTGCTGCAAGAAAGTTGGCTAATTGCCAATAAGTGAACCAACATTTTGTATAATTTCAAAACAAGGAAAATTAAAGTAGTACTTATGTGACTCTCTGCATCCAACCTGAGAACTCTGAAAAGAACAATAATTTTGAAAACATTTACATCTTACAAACTAAAAGTAGTAGGCTCATAGTACCATCCTATACTACTTTGTCATAATTTATTGTTATATAAACACATGGAAAACCTGTCTAGCAATAATCATGCATTGTATACATTACTTGGAAACAGTTTTACCAATTAGTTACACATTATCTGGACTGACTCACAATAAAAGTACATGAACATATAAAAAAACTATATCAATAGAGATAATGACATGTAGAACATTTCAAGTCATCAGTTTGTGGTAAGAATAGTCCTTAAAACTAAAATATCACACAAATCGACTATAAGAATACTAGTGATAGAACCATTGTAGAAAAAATTATCGGTGATACTCACATTCCACTGTTTGATAGGAACAGAATCTGCTGACCCTTATTATTGTATGATAAGCAACCTAAAATGGGCTGTATAAACTAGTTTACTTGCTGTTTCTTTGTTTTTAAGGTTTTGTGAAAAACATTAAACCTCAATACTATATGATTATTATTTAACCTATAATTGTTTTTCAATTTGAAACTTGACTTTTTTCACTGTATTTTAGCTCACATATAAGTGTAAGATTAATCCAGCTATTTTTAATCTTGTAAAACCTGTACCTTGAAACTTTCAGATCTTGTTTTTCATATTGCATGTTTGATTACATGACTACTATGAATGTTCTTTGTGTACATAGCTTTGAAGTAGTGATTAATCACATATAAAACATCTGAGGTGTTTTGTTTAAAGAGTATGTGTATAATATCCTATTAATAATTAAATTATGTTTCAAATTTTAATGCAGTGATTAAAACAATAAAAAGCAAGGTAACAGGCCATTTGGCTCATCCCATTATCCACCAAAAAACCAGTTTAAATTGAATTTAGCTTTCACGTGTTCTTATACAAGAAAAAATTAATACTCTCATGCAGTCAACAAACGTGTAACTCAGTGATCTTGATGCAATGCATAGTATGTACCACTTATCCACAATTCTTCACTCTCCCACCTGCCATTATCTCTAACACAATAATTCAGATTTTTGTGTTGATGGTTGTTATGTTCACATCATGTACTAACTTTTTTATTATGAATTCTACAGTAATGTCAATCCTGAGGCTAAAATTTCGGTTAATAGTGAATATTTTTCCTAATGCTTCTGTCAATGATAGCTATTTTTCTATTGCTTATTTTTTTACAGTTTATTCCTGCAGTCTTCCTCTGGCATGCAAGTAGTTTCCATTGCTTGATTATTAGCCTTCATCAAGCAGTGAATTTAACCCACTGATGCTGAATTTTTTGTAGGTGTTCCTGGCAGTTACCAGTGTTCTATGGATGCTAATTTGATGGATCATCAGCCCTATTTATCTTTCCAAAAATTATTTTAACTTATTTTTCAGGTATGTAAAATTTAAACCTTGAATCAGTTAAACCCGAAGGTTTTAGTGTTGTTTTACAACATTCGAATTTGGAATCTCTGTTTCTTCCTCATTCTCCCGACATTTGGTTACAGCTAATTCCCAAAGATTACATTCACCTCACATTTAGAACTGGGATAGTAGCTCAATTATTCAATGTAATCAATTACTTATATATTACATCAATTAGTGCCATTAAAATAACTGATTAAATGAAATTATGATTCAATCAATTAATGTCATAAAAGTAATCAACAAATCAAAATTAGTGTTCCTGGTTATTACTATTTGCAATTGATTCATCTTTTTTGGCTTCTAGCCAATATGGTCTGGTTATTAAGGTGGTTGCTTTGTGGGTTATGAGTTTGATTCCTGTTCCCACCAACCATGCCCACCCCTTTATCCTTGGAGGCACTATATTTTCATTTTTTGAGTTATGCCAAAACTACTAATGCCATCTGCCACTATCCCTAATTTTGAACTGCCAACCAGAGAAAAAGTTATCAGTTGGCGGCATTTTTTGCCAATTCTTGGACTACTTTTCCTCTAGTGAATAATGGATTGACTGTGAAACAACTGTTATTCCTACTTTTGCTGGTGTGACTGTACAAGATGTTATGCATGCATTTTTGCTTGCACACAACTCATAACTGTGAATGTGTGGTTTGTTGGCCATTGGTTATGTAACTAGCCACAGTGGTGCCTTTTGTTTATGTTTCCTTGTTAGGCCATAGCTTTAACTTAATATATTTCTTACTTATTACAAGCTATAAATGTAACCATTGTTACTTAGATTATGATTGTTTTAATAAAAAGTTGTGGCAAATTAATAATATTCATTGTACTCTGAAGAAAAAATTGTTTGCTGAATAACTTGCTCAACAACCTGTATTTGTCAGAAGTTACTAGTGATGGACTTAACAACAATCTAACAGTATGTAACACCAAATATTTTTGTGATGTGAATACCTGCAATGAATATAGGAGAATAATGTGATTGAAAGACTGTTATATATTATTATTATTGAAAAACCTTAAGGGACTGAATGTTGTGTTAAAAAAATATAATACGTTTAATATTAATATCTTATAACAAATATAACTGATTATGTAACAATTAAGTTATTAACCTATTTACATGAATTGGCTTTTTGTTTAATTATGACTAGCTTTAGATAGATAGGTAAAGGGGAACTAAAGTCTGGTTATTGTCACATGCAGCATAAATGCTACATGGTCGAGTAGGCTATAAGTTGTTTAATTTATTGATTCCTCACAGAGCTAGGTTATTAATCGATCTATTATCTATGATCATCAATTACATTGATTAGTTCCACATAACATAATTGGTTAATCAAAATTAGTACTTCAAATTATTCCAACTATCCCAGTAATTCAACTATTGTCATTATGAATTTTCCTTATTATTTTTGATTAATTGAAGTTCAGCCAGTTTAATCACTTAATGCTACAAATGGAAATAATCAATTAATCAAAATTACTTTTTCCAGTTATTCTTGTTTTTGATTAATTCAGAATGTCAAGACTTGTGAAGATAATCAACTTATTGAAATTAGTTTTCACTCATTCCAACCATCCAGGTAACCGAAATATTGCCAGTATTATTTCTCATTATTTTTTTTAATTTGATAAGGTGGTTGTCTAAATCCCTGTTGTTACCAATCATGCTTGCCTTTTCAGCTACAGAGATGCTATATTTGAATTTAGAATTATGGCAAAACTACTAAGACTACATGCCACTGTCCCTAATTTTGAACTGCTGACCAGCATGCACCACCAATTCTTGAGCCTGTCTTTTTCTTGTCAAAAATATAGATATTCTCTTAATCGTTATTATCATAAAATATTGTGCTAAAAAAATTGCAACACTTACCACGTTTGAATGTACGTAGAGTGTATGTAACAAAATAACAGTGATTATTGTAATACAACATGAAGTGTAGCTGTACAAGTTTTTAAATGTAGCATTTAAATATTCTAGCTCTACACTGTTTTCATTATTGTAAAGTTCGTTACCAACAACAACAATTGCACTATTCATTTTAAGCTTTCACCAATAGAAGTATTCTTTCTACGTACTCCATTGTACATATTTTAACCAAACTTATTAATAGATATGTTTGGTGAGCCTTATAGTACCTGAAAATCTAGTTTTTGAATGTCACATTTTCTGCTACATAAAGGTAGATCATTAATGCTAATTATGATGTGGAACATAATGAAAAAGTGCCAAGCATATTTCACTCTGTTTTGTTTCACTTACTTTACTGAATCTGGATTAACCTAAATTTAACTGCTTGAAAATATTTATTAGACTGTATTTACCTTATGTAAAGGTTTTTTTAGTCTATGTATCTTTTTATCTCTTACTTGTTTGAGTGGATAATGCAATGGTCATTTAAGTTTTGTTTGTTGTGTTTCAACATGTATGTGACAAAGTAGAGCAGGTATTTGAATTATAAAACACATAATAATAAGTCTCTAAATTATCTTTCCAGGCTCCAGTGCTGAAAGAAATATATTGTGTATGCCATCTTTCAACAGGTAGAATTTGCCTTTTATTTTCATATGAGCTTCCTTTTAAACATTCTCACTTTATTTGAATAAAATAAAGAATCTAGTCTTTCTCATGATATGTATGCTGTAAGAAAATTTTAGAATTTTTAACATGTTCTAAACTATAAAATGTTAGAATTTTTTTTAAAAGCAACGGGTGGCTTACATGACATTTTAAATTAGTTTAACTCTATTATGGGACATATTTAAGCAGAACTAGTCTTGGGATCACAGCTAGGTCAAACTCTGTCCTGTACAATTTACCCTGATCTAATTAGTGACAAGTTGGTGATTTTATTGATAAAAATTGGATACATGAAAATATAAAATGTTTTCTGAATGGATTTCCTCTTACATTGATTCAGGCACATCCATATCTCCAACTATTTATTAAATATGTAGGTAATGTAAGAAGCTGACTCATCAGTTTAGATGTCTGTGTGAGATTAAATATATGTAACTCAAAGTTACTTTTATATTCAAGTAATATTTTTTGTACAAATAATGCCACTAGTTCTGCATTTATAGTTCAGCATTTGAAAATGGACAAACACATTTGCATTTTTGATTCATTTGGCTTTGTGGCTTAAATTGCATACATCTGTTCAAATAGATTTCTCCATCAGAACTTCACTTTGTTTTTCATTGACTTTCACAACAGTTTTGTTTTATGGTGCTGTTTCTTATACATTAGTTTTCATATACAAAGTTATTGTTTTATAGCTTGTATCTTGTTCTTTTCCGACAGGGTACATTATCTCTTCTCACATAAATTGCTATTCTCGTTCATGGCTGCCCTCTATATGCAAAATTTTTTTTACGCATGCCACAAGCCTTCTACCTCCCCTCCATTGGCATTGACTGATTCCAATGCATCTCTCATGCATCAACCCTCCACCAATAAAAGTGCGACATACTCTCATGATGTATGTGACTCCCTCTGTCAAAATCTACTGAACTGTCACTTCTCGTTTGGTAGTACTCATGTTCAGATGTTTTTTCCTTTGGTGCTCTTCATGTGAAGACGTGATTTTAATATTTTAATTTCTGAAGTGGGATTTCTTCATTATTATTTTTTTCTTTACATTGAAGAAATCTTTTATTTAACTTAATTTCCCAGTCTCTATTTTGTTTTTCTCACACTCTATAATGAATTCTGAAGTTCATGTTCTTATCTTTAGCACTATTTTCACAGGCTGCAGGTGGGGAAGACCCGTCATTGAATTTATCTGCTATCATCCATTGTGAGATTTTTTTCCTGTATGGGTCAACCTTCTCCTCTTGAACTTGTCCCACTCATCCTCCTGAACAAGCTGAACCTGTTTGAGCCAATTAAGATTTGATAGCCTTTTTCCACCACCACCAGATTTTGCCGTGTTTTTTCCCTACCCTTCCCACAGAATCCACTAGGCCTAATATGGCATTTTTCGACATGATTTCGCAGGTGTGTTATGTTGTATCCAATTCCACATTTTTCGATATTCCTTATTACCTCCATGTTGTCTCATTTGTCATCTTCGGCTTTCACTTTCCACACGTGGTTTCACTGTAGTTGGTTGCGATACGACCTTGTCTTGGGTACATTTACTGCCTCTTTCTTTTTGAGATTTCAATATATTTTTTGGTGATATATTTTCAATCATGTATCTGAGACTTTGGAATCTCATGTTATCTGTGCAGCAACTCCTGACCTTTTCCTCTTTGGTTGGTTGCATGTTTCTCGCAGTTGTAGCCACAACACGCCATATTCTTATATACCTGGCCCTGTCCCCCTTTCAGGAGTTTCTCTTCTCTTTGTTTTATTCATCGTTGATGGGTATGTCGCTAACAATACTGGAGACTCACCAGAGGATTCCGCTCTAGTGGATGCTTGTCTATATTTTATTTTACCTTTGGTGATTTATCACGACTGTTACATGGGTACTTTGGGTTTTTTCAAAGGGACTTGTCCTACTTTTTCTTTCTCCTCCTCCTTTGTCCCTGGTACATTTTTCCTTCTCCATGACTTGGAATCTTGCCACCAACCTGTGTCTGCCCGAGACAGTACAAGATTTTTTTTCTACAGGCCATTGCACCTGTTTATCATCTTTCTCTAGGCTTTTATTCCAGGCTGTTTGTTGCCCCTGCACCATACCGTAGGCTGGCATCCTGTACTAGGTTTGTCCTTCCTCATTCTAATTTTCAATCTGCCCCATTTTACCTTGGAATCTTTTGTCACCCTTAGGTGGGCTTTTTTCCTCCAGGTTTATCGATGACAAAGAGGAACGTCACAAATTATTATTTGCATATCCCCAAATTTCATCACTTGCAACCCTTTCTTTGGTTTGGACTTGCCTAGGCCCTGTATCTTTTGTCGGGCATTCAGAGCAATTGTTCCTCACTTATATGCTCTTTTTTTTTGTCATCCGAACAGGAGTCCACCTGTTACCATTATAAGCTGCTCCTGGTGGCAGCTGTAATGTGCTATTAATCAAGTTGGAGAAGTCCTTACTGTGACCTATCCAATATCTTGTCCTTTTGGGTGTTTTTTTTTTTCTACACATATCTCAGTCAGGCCTGCCCTTCTTCTCTTCAACTTCATTTGATGAGTTTTCAGTTTGATTACAGCTTGTGAAGTTCTATCACTTTTGGGGATGTGATCTTCCATAGTAGCCCTTATCCTCTTAGGTCAGGCTCTTTCAAGGGCTTTTCATGACCAGTGGGATTTCACAAGGATCCTTTGTTGGCTCTTATTACCCTTCTTCCTACCCTTGTTGTCAATGGCATTGGTGGTTAGATATGACCTGTTTCCTCCTCCTCATCTGGTTTTCCACATTAACATTTCATGAATGCATCCCTTCAGGGATGGGGACATGGGTTGATCAACTGGAAGATTTGGGGTTTTTGGTCTGTGATTCAGAGGTCTTATCCTATCAATGTCCAGGAACTTCTCACTGTTGATCATGTTTTGGTTCATTTTCTCCATCTAGCCAGAAATTATCTGGTAATGATCCATTCTGACTTTTCTTCAGTGGTTGCTTATCTCAATCACTAGGGTGGCACCCATTCTCCATCCCTCTGTATTCATATGTTGGATCTTTTTTTTTGGGCCCCATGTTCGATATTCCTATCATTGCGTGTCATGTTTCAGGTGCTTTCACTCTTTTCCTGGATCGGATTCCTGTCCAGATAACATTTATCCAATGGAATGGTCTCCTGATCCTTTTTTTTTCCAGTAGTTTTGACTTCAGTGGGGTACTCTTCATATTGAGGCTTTTGCTATGTTCCTTAACCACAAATTGCCTTGGTTTTGGTCAGTGGTTCCTTGTCTTCTTGCTCTGGCTATCAATGTTTTCAGCCAGGATTGGACCTACACATTTGTCTATCCACCCATTCTCCTTCTTCTTTGGATGATTTCATTCATCCTTGACACTCCGTGTTCAGTCCTTCTGATAATTCTTTCCTGGCTGTCTCAACTGTGGTTTCTGCAGCTTCTCCAGCTTCAACTTCTTCCTCCATCACCTTTTCCTCTGTTTCTGTCCCTTCTTTGCCACCCTCAGTCATCAGTGTTTCATCCAGACCTTTCTGTCCTCCGTCTTCAAGCCTGGTTTTCCTCTGGTCGTTGGTGAGGTGATCTGGCTTCTCCTGACAGTTAGGCTCTTTTTGGCTTTTTTCATTCACCCTTCCTACCTGGAAGTTTCTTAATGTACATGTAATTTTTCTGTGATTGGTTTCTGGGTCCAGGGTTTTCCCCTCATCAGTTATTCATCCCCACAGTTATTCATGCTCTCTTGACTTTTGAATCAGGGATCTTCTATTTCCTCGGTCTTGAATTTTCAGGCAGTCCTGTCCCACACCTTTTATTTTTCCCAATCCTGCAGGTATTTACCTCTCCTACACTTTACCTGTGAATGTGTTCCTTCCGGATTTGTCGTTTGCCATGACAGGCTGCCCTTTTGGATGGGGATATTAATGTGGTCCTGCACTGCCTCACTTTACCTACATTCGAACCACTCTCCCAGGGCTCTTTGTTTCTCATACCCTTATGTTTTTCTTCCTTCTCTTATTTGCCTCTGGATTCCAGTGGTCTGTTCATTTGCCATCGATGTTTCACATAGTCTTTATTCTTCTCCATATCTTTTCCTTTCTCTTGATCGTTTTTACTCCCTAACACTTCAGTGGCTCGTGAGGGTAACTCCTCCATTTAGCCACTTTCCCTTTCTTCCATTTCACACCTTTATCCTTGGCCTGATCCAAATAGACTTCTATGTCCTGTATATGCTATTCTCTGTTACATTGCCTGCATGGCTTCCTTCTGTGGTGTCCATTCTCACCTCTTTATTCCTTGGGAACTGTCCTCTGTTGGTATTCTTTCTCCTTCCTCTTTTGCCAATTGGGTTCGGCTGTTCATTTGATTGGCTTTTTCCTCTTGTATTTTGTTCTGAGTGGCTTTTCACCCAATTTGACACCTTACTTTTTCATTGGCATTTCATCTTCATCATCCTTTGGAGATACTTCTTCAATTGGGCATGTGGACTATCCATAATACATTCATCTCTCACTATTTGCATTGGATTGTTGTTTTTCTTCCTCTTTGGGTTATTTTCTTCTGCCTGTAGCCATTTTAGAATATCATAATTTAGTGAGACTTTGACTGGGCAAGTTGTTTTGTCTTTTTTTTCCTTTTCAGCAGACTTTTTCCCTTTTATTAATGCTTATTGTTTGAATCCAGCTCTGTGGCAAGTGGTGCCTGACCAGATATTCTTTAACTGTTCAAATCTGTACTGTCAAGCAATGTCGATTTGCATATTATAATTCCATGGCCATCCAACACACACTACAGAGAGAGATAGCTTGTAGGTTTATCCTTGTGATAGAATTACTTCATAAGTTTGCCCATCCCAAATGAACTACATGGGTAAAACAGAACGAGATAGCTGCCCATCCCATGTATTGAATAAATTGGTATGGTCTGCTTTTACAAATAGGGTTCTGTGATCACCCATCGC